CCCTAAAGCTAACCCTAAAGCTAACCCTAAAGCTAACCCTAAACCTAACCCTAAACCTAACCTTAAACCTAACCCTCACCTTAAGTTGAATTGGCTTGCTTTCAAAGCGCTATTTAAAGCGCCCTTCTTTCTCCGCGCTGGCTGTTGTCGCCCTGTTGATGACATCAGCGACGCGGTTTAATCGGGCGCGGTTTTGACGGGTCACGGGTGTTGTATAGGTAAGGGAGAAAACCCTTCTTAAGTCAACCTCTTGTCAATAAAAGTACTTTCCTCAAGTACCGTTCAAGTTGAAGAAAAATTCTGGAAAGACCAGTGCAAGTTTCTTTCCATGTAATAAACTCATACTTTAATAAAAAGGGGAAAATATTAACTGCAGAATTCAGCCCTGCATAACGGAATCATAACTATATAAAAACAGGAAAAATATTCCAACTGAGGAAGGATGCTTTTCTATTCAGGAGGGATTCTTGGACCCCGTCTAACTTGGATATGAATGGATTTAAACTCTTGGGTGCAGATAACAATCCTGGAAGCTGTGATTTTCTGGTTTTGGGGTCTGTTAAACCAACGCTGTGAAATTTCTAAATCGGGCAAGAATAGGCAGAGAGCAAAGTTATTTTCATAGCACATACCAATTAAAAACCATCCGCTACTTTCTTTATTGCAGGCTGGCTCCTTTGCATAGGTTAAAAATGCTTCCAGATTTCTTCTTCCCACAGCCCTGGCCCTGTTGGTCTAGAAGGAATGCCTACCACGGAGGAGTTCCTCCTGCTCATTCATTCCTTGGAAGGCCTTCAAGTTTCATGCCGGTTCAACATCTCATTCTGGCACTGAGTGATCCTCCTCTTACCAATCATCTCTGCCACCCGTTGCCTTGCATTCCAGCTGGCCTGGCCGAGGGGGAAGGGAGGAATACTTCTCCCATGAGTTCACTCTAGTTTCTGAGAAAGCACAGTCAAGATCCGTTCAAATTTCTTGTGTCGTTCACGCCGTTCCGCCTGCGCTCCTTTACAGCCCCAGAATAACCGAAGGGAGAACTCGGTCTGAAATACTTCCAGGAGTTCTGGAGTGCTCTGGAATCCTGAGTGGAGGAAAGGACGTAAAAAGGAAAACATGAGCTGAATCCGTAGCCTCAAATCAGTACCACACAGAGGGCCCATCCTATTATTAGCTGTCTTCTTATGATGTGTCATCTGCTAGTGGGAAATGGATCTGCTAAGCCAGGGGTCTCCAACCTTGGCAACTTTAAGACTTGTGGGCTTCAGCTCCCAGAATTCCTCAGCCAGCTGGCTTGATGGTTTATCAATGGTCTCCAACCTTGATGGTATAGGTTCCACCACAAAACCGCGGAGTACAAAATCACGCTCGCCGAAAGCACGCATTTGACGTCATCACAGCGCGACGAAAGCATC